AGGGACTACCTGTATTTCAGATGACCCCTTATTAAAAAGCCACCATGCAGTGTTCTGCTTGCCTCGATCCCAGAGAAATAATCTCCTGGTCTACTGGAAGTCCTTTTGACATATGGATTGCAGAACATTCTGCAAGAGTGTATTCAAATCCAAAATAAGGAATGTATAACCATGCCCTGAGGACTACTGCCTGTGTTTCTTTCTTGCAAGTGGTCTACTTGAACAGTATTTCCCATTATTATCCTTCTGTAATAACTTCTTAGTTCATCAGATGTGTAATACTTGTTTGTTTTGTTTGTAAAATACAAACTTTTACTTTTAATTAATGGAATGGAAATAATACATGGAATTGTATTATTTTAGTCAATAAGTAAATGGCAAGACTGAATTAATGCCAGGACAGCAATTACTGTATGTGTTTTTCTAACTCATTAAACCATTCCTTCTGTTCTAGGTGGGGAAAAAAACAGATAAGAAAGGCCCAAATATCTGGTTCTTGAATTTATATTTCCTGTTTTTGGATAAGGGGATATGACTACAGATACAAGGGAAAGGAAAGGAGTTCATGTTTTAATATACAATATGGTTAGATCTGGTGATTTGCAATCCCACAAGGTTCTAAATCTTTAAATCTTCTAATAACCAGCCGAAATTGCAAAACATCACACTGAGACATGTTACCTCCATCCCAATATTAAAATCCTAAGCTTAATTGCATGGATACTGCCCAGAGTTGCTGATGAGTGGGCAGCCTTAAATAAACAGACGTTTGTTAATAAACCACTGAGATTTATTCAAGTCCATTGCTTTTCAATATTATTTTTAACAAGGATATGCGGCTATTCTCCAGAGAGTAGAGGCACCTGAAATATTTTGCTTAATATAAACTCACCTGAGTATCTATTTTTATTAGTGCAATATCTGCTTTCTCATCAATATCCTTAATTTTAGCTTCATACGTCACACCATTCTTCAGCTCCACTTTCACTCTGTTCTTATTGGTAACCACGTGAGCATTTGTAACGATCAGTCCATCTTCAGAAACTATGAACCCTGAGCCACTGGCAACAGCAAGTTCCCTCTTTGTAAAGGGCAATCTGAAAGATAATACCAATATCAAGAAGTAAATTAATTTCTGAAGATGAAAGCAACCCTCTGCATCTCTGGTATGTTATGCTGTGCTGCCAAGTTCTGTGATTCCTTACATACTCAACATTTTCAAAACATGTAGATCACTGCATTTTTCAAAAAGGTGTAAAGTACTTAAGAGCATCATAAAATGTTAATTTAAAATAACGTTATCGTCAAAATCCACAGAATGATCAGGACAAACAATGCAGTTTGAGTATCTCGTTTACCTGTGAAACAATTCTATATGAACAACAGCTGGTGCTATCTTCTCCACCACATCTGCAATAAAATTGTATTTATACCGCAAGCTGTTAGGATCTTCCTGACCTGGAGAGAGGAGAGAGAGAGAGGAAAAAAAAAACACTTGTCATAAAATATCACCATGACCTAAAGAGTTGCACACAAAATTGCAATTTGCCTATATTAAAGGGAGGAAGCAATTTTATTCCTGAGAAGTTATTTAGTTAGAACAATTATGAAGATAATAAAAACTGCAGTTACATTCATTAAAAAGTACTATATTGCAGACAGGATAGTGTAGGTTCTGGTTCAAAACATACTTGTCCAAATGAGCTACCAAAAGTATGAGATTATGATAATGGGAGAGGATTTCACATTAAAAAAAAAAAAAGTCTTTTCCTCTGTAGTTTAAATCTTGATTGGTCAGAAATGTCACTTATTTTTAAAAGGCATTTTAAAGCTTGGCTATATAACCACATGTATGACTCAAGTGCTTCTCCCCGCATCATCCTCACCCTCACATTCTACCCAATAATAACAACAATATGTAGGCCATTTTCATGACTTTGCTACTTAGTATAATATAAAGGCATCTGAGTTTCAGCAGTGGCCCTTATTAATTACTATAATATAAAAATATATTATGCTTCTCCTGAACATGGAGTATAGTTTGCAGGGCTGTGCAAACTATTTAAATTCAAATGTTTTGAGTGTGAAACAGTTATTTCTAATTTGAAATTACCCTCATTGGAAGTACTCTGACACCATTCTGACTATACTGGAAGTATTTTGAGATTGAAATACTTCCAGTAAGATTGAAAACAGCCAGTTCTGAACTGTTTTGAATTTCAAATGTTTAGCACTCCTCTACCTGTATGAATCCACAAACTCTTTACAGATTATTAGTAAATAAAAATTTACTAATGATGCTCTAGAAGCAAATTGCCTACTTGTCTTTGGATATTAAAGGTTTAAGTTCAATGTTATATAGATCACATATAAAGTGGCACACATTAATTAATTAATTAATTTGTTAATTTATCCCACCCATATATACTTGTCTCAAATTAAACACTTTTGGCATTACTGATAAATCTACATTGAAAACTCTATACCTAGCCATCTAAGATATCATGTAATATTAAATGGAGGCTTCAGTGAAAAACTGGGCCCACACGATAGCACTTTCTCTAAAAATTCAGCAATATCCCCTATGTTACATTGAACTTAAACTTTTAATATCCAAAGACAAGTAGGCAATGATGGTTCTAGGAGACCATCATTAAATTTTACATCTCAAATAATGTAATTAGTGAGGACTATACAATAGAATTTACATACTGAATACAAGAACAAAACAAGCACAATCAGCTATATAGTAATTATGTAGGACTGATTCAGAATTTTGTAAATTTAAAGATTCACCACTGAGAACTGTGCAGATAGCAACCATATGCCCCTAGTTTTGAACTTGAGACCCATCTCCTATTTTCCATTTCCTTATTTAGGCTTATATTAATGCCGATATATGGCCTTCTTATATAAAGTGGTCAACAAGAGTTAATTGCCAACTTTCTGAATTCTAAGTAATTTCTTCCTTCATCATCACAAATCAATTAAATGAAAAAAAGTATCATGGGCTATGAAAATTTAACCTAAATATATCAACACTTAATAGTCTCCAATAACAAAAATGAGCAACTTTTTAATTGCACTCAATCTAAACACTATTTTATTACAAATAAAAATGTGCTAGGGAGGCTCCAACTGATACATGTACAGAGAAAATCCCCTACATACTCCCTACTTAAACAGGAAAAATCCCCAGCATATCATCTACTTGACTGTATCACTATAAGAAAAAACAGTGTAAGTCCCTACTAACAGCAAAAAAGAGAAAGGCTGACAAAGACGCTTGGCAGCAACTGATAATGGCAGCAAGAGCAAATGACTCAATGACCTTCTGGAGATTAGTTGCGCCAGTTCTGAACACTGAGTCACTCTATTTTGTATGACTCATCCCACTTGTCTTTTGGGAGGACCGTTTTTCTGAATTCTATTTGGGTGAAAACCTTCACTTAGTCTTAAGGGACTGACAGTGTGAGCAGTTTGCCCACTTGGCCACCTGTCTCAATTTCAGAAACAGCCAAATTAATCAGTCAGCTTAAGTCATGGAAAGCCCCAGGAGAAGACTTCCTACCACCTGAGTTGATTAAAAACCATTCAGAGTCCAATACTGGCCTCGCTATTGGCTCAAAACGGCCCTTATTTACTTATACTGAAAAATTAAACTAAATCTCACGAAGCAAGGTCTGCCCATTATTACCTTCATCTTTAAGAAAGGTAAGAAAGATCTGTTACCATCAGGAGCTGGCCACTCTCTGTAAAAATTACAACATAATAGTGCATTGATGATAATTCAAGGATGTAATAGAGATACAACTCAATGCTGATGGTTCTTATGATGCTGTAAGAAATAAACGTTTGGGTGGCAGGAGAAAAGATAAGAAAAGATAAATTAGAAGAAACCTCCCTCTGGGGGACCAATCAATATTCTACAGCTGATGATATACCATGAGAGATGGAAAATGGAGAATCTAGAAATAGGATATTTATGAGGATTAAGAGACTTTTCATGGATTTGTTGACTACTCAGTCAATCTCTGGTTGGAAAAAAAGTTGCAGCATTGTATGCGGTATTTTCTTTAGTGCAGAGTAGGAAGCTGAGGATATAGTAGCTGTCATATCACTACTCTGAAATACAGCTGTGAGATTCTGGAGGATAAAAATAGGTAGCTAAGTAGAAACTGAAGTCCAGGACATATAAGTCAGCCTTTTCACATGAAGAATTCATGCAAAGAAACAACAAGTCAGGTACAGCTGGGCTATCAATATACCAACAGGTAATTCTTCTGGTGCCATTTTCTGCTCAACCAATATTAAATTTTTATTTTATACAAACATTTAATAAGCAGACAAGCCATACTCACATGGCAACATAGCACTTCCAATATCCTTTCAAAATTCCAAAAACTCTGTCCAGGTTACACATCCCTGCTATTCATATAGGCATAAATCCAGGATATCAATTGAAGAAACAAAAATAATACACTTCCCCATACATTTTCCTACTTGTGATGTGCCTAGTGTATGTGTGTGTCTATGTATGCACATGTTACTATTGCTTGTAAAGTTACTCAGTTTTTATTGCTATTTTATCTTACTGGCTACTTAATGTGTGAGTTTGTTCTCTCTTTTGTTCTCCTTTTTTAAATTGCATTTTTGTTTTCTATTTATTAACCCTGCTCATGACCACTTTGCCTTCATGGTACTTTCCTGATTTGTGGTATACATTCTAACTAAGCTTCCTTTACTGTGGTTTTGAATAACTCTCAAGTATTCCAGACAGATTTTACTCTCTTAATTTCTCATGCAACTTCCTTTTTACCAATTCCCTCATTTTAGAGAAGTTTCCTCTTTTGAATCAAATGTGCTAATTTTTACTTATATAACATTTTTACTTACATATAGATCAGACTGAATAATTGTCTAGTCCTTCAGTCAATTCAACAATATTCATACCTTGTGTTTGGTCTAGGATGTCAGAATGAAATCACTGTTCTAGATCACAACTATTTAAGGCATTTAGAAATATCACCTATACATTGTGGCCAGAACATGAATCTCTCTAATTAGTGTAAGGATAATTAAGTCACTCATTACTCCATTACTTTAGATGTCAGCTGGATTTCATTTTTCATTTCAGATCTCATAATAATGGCCAATTCTACTACCTTCTGACAAGGTATGTCAAATTCTCTGCATAAACCAGTTATGTATACTGACTATAAAGCTATCAAATTGAACTTATATAAATGTGGAACATTTATATAAAGTTCAGTACAACCATTTTCAAAATTGGAATAATTATGAAGATTTCATTTTAAAAGAAATAAAAAGGAAGAAACACAAACATGAAATCTTTTTTGGATACTTGAAGGTATTCATAAAGAACATAGAGACCAGACAAAGAAGGATGCAAGCATGATTAATCAAAGGATTAGAAAGCTATAAAGAGCAAGAAATGAAATATTGTTCATATGAAGGGGGGGAGGCAAGAATTGATGCACCTGCTTTAAAAAACTAATACAATCTTAGACTATATTAAACAGTGATCTAGCTTCTCAATTGTTCCAGAAGGTAGGACTAAAATTAATTGATAGAAATTGTTGGAAAGTACAGTTTTCAGCTAAATTTTGGAAGACGTTTGGTAATAGGAACAGATTGCCTTAGGAGATGGTGGGTTAGATATATCAACTATACCCAGTGTATTTACATTCTCTTCTGTTCTCCTATAAAGTGGAGGGGGACAATGTTTTAGTTTTTGTTCTAAAAAATAATTTTGTAACCAATAATTAAAAACAATTTTAATGGAAAGCATTTTATCTTCTCCATCGAAAAGACAATGGGGCATTTATAATGGAATTCTGTGATCAGTTAAACCAACAGGCCAAAGAATCTTCATGGAATCTTCATTCATAGCTTAATCATAGCTCAGTCTTTTCATCAATGCAACACCATTTAACATTACATGCTTGTTAGATGGCATGTAACTATCTAGGTAACAAAAGTGAATGACAACTACTTAAATAGACTTCATAGTTATTTATTGATTTAGCATACTTCTACCCACTGCAATCACAAAACTCTTGGCAGTTTACAAGCAACACAGGCATTTAAATTACACATCCATGGTAGGAACTAAAATATATGCAATTCTAACCCCAGAAAACCAACAATATCATAAACAGTCAAATTGGGTGTTTTATCACTCACCAAGGCCCTTCAGAATAACTCAGTTTTCAGAAATTTCTGAAAGGTTAGGACAGTGGGAAGCAATCTAATTTCTAAAGGGATGCTGTTCCATAAAATAGGCACTGCTATTGAGAAGTACATTACATTTGTATACAAAAAACACTGCCAATACTTGAGACACATAATCACTAAGAATATTTGCAACTGCACTATTAAAAGTTAATTATTGAGAACACACAATGTTTTATATTTCATTTCTAATAACGCTGGGG